GTATTCTTCTCCGGAGATGGGAAACTGCAGCTGGGAAAGTGACGACCTGACAAACGGTTATACCGAGAAAGTTATGGGAAGTTGTGTTGCGTCAATCCCATGATACTGTAACAGGAGGACATCTCGGAGTTAAAAACACATTAAGTCACCTACGACAGAGATTTTACTGGATAGTTATGAGGCAAGATGTGGAAGAATGGTGCAGGACATGCAGTACATGTTTTGCTAAAAGGGGAACCAAGCATAAAGGACGTGCCCCAATGAAGTTATATCAAGCTGGTGCACCAACGGAAAGAGTAGCCATTGACATTACTAGTCCTCTGCCCCAAACTCGTGCTGGAAACAAATATATTTGTGTGGTGATGGATTATTTCACTAACTGGCCTGAGGCTTATGCAATACCAAATCAGGAAGCTACAAAAGTAGCTTCGGCTATTAGTGATTTTTTCTTCATATTTGGTATGCCATATGAACTGCATTCAGATCAAGGCCGTAACTTCGAATCAGCTGTGTTCCATAAATGCTGCAAGTTGTTTGGCATCCGAAAGACCAGGACAACGCCACTTCAACCTCAGTCCGATGGGATGGTAGAAAAGTACAATTGGACACTGGGACAGGAATTGGCAATATTTTGTAATAGTCACCAAGATGACTGGAATGTCTTACTTTCTCCACTGTTGATGGCCTATAGGACAGCAGAACATGAAGCCACTGGATACACTCCAGCAAAGTTGATGTTTGGTTGGGAACTTCGGTTGCCAGTGGATCTGTTAACAGGACGCCCACCTTATGAAGAGTTGTCTGAAAATGTGTCAGTCTTATCTGAAAGGATGGACGATATTCACCACCAAGTGCATTCAAACTTGAAAACGTTGCTGATTCGATGAAATTATCTTATGATAAGAGATCTACTGAAGTCAGCTTTGTACCAGGAGACAAGGTGCGGTTGTATAATCCCAGGAAAACCAAAGGGAAGTCTCCTAAGTTGTCATCTCCATGGGAAGGCCTATATGACATAGTGGATC